GAGGGAGAAAGAGAGGAAGAGAAATATCAGTGCGCAAGGGATATATCCACTGGTTGCCTCTCACTCATTCCCAACTGGGGACCCTGGCTGGCAACCCAGACATGTGCCCTGACTGGGAAACGAACCTGTGACTTTCTGGTTCTCAGGCAGGAGCTCAGTCCACTGAGCCACACCAGCCAGAGCAAAAGTTTTTTCCAAAACTTTTAAATCAAATTGTGTTATAATTATCTGGGTTAAAATACATGCAGAGTAAATAGAGGAAGTCCCCAGGAGTGCATTGCCTAAGATAGCCAAAGGTTACAATCTTTTAAGTGTTTTTTAAAAAATATTTTCTCTTTGTTTCTCTATTTTGTGTGATGTTTCTACCATTGCATTTCAGAGCTGCTGGATTTTTTTTCTTTTTCTATTAATATCTCTGCTTTTCTCACATGTAATTTCACTCCTGTCTGGTATCAATGTTTCTAATGAAAAACAAATTTTTTTGTTCTAATGACCACTTTTCTTGTTCTTAAGAATGTGTGTATCCACAGCTTATAATTCATTAATCTGCTTGTTCAGAAGCCCAGATTTTTTTCTTCCTCAACTTTGTGTTTAGAGAAATAATTTTTTCTTTGACCCTATGCACATACAAATGAATAAATGAATATATAAAAAATATATTCTTGAATGTTTTCTTTCAGATAAAACTGCTTCACTCCCACTCCCACTTTGTACCCTGTTCAGTATTTGTTTCTCTGGTTATCTCTGCTTTTAGCCACTTTGTCTTTTTTGATCATTTAAGTTAAAGTGCCGAACAGACAAAAAGTTTCTTCATTATTTTCCTCTTATTCTAGATATTGGATTGTCATCTTTAGAAATTCAGTACTTATGAAAGAACTAACTCTACCGGTTTGATACCACATTTACCTGCATACTCAAGATGGTTTATGTCTTTTGCAATAAACTCATCAGTTGGAGACATTAACTGATTATATATATATTTTTTATTCTACATTTTATTTTACATTATAAATGTAATATATTTGATGTATATATCTATTTTATAATTATTATTTATATTTACTTCAAAGTAATTGAAAAACTTTTGTAGCTACTGGTTCTAGGGTTTAAGATATCTCCTAGGGTAATAGCATCTGATTTTACAAGTGGGAACTAAAGCTTCGTTATTCACTTGTGAAATTCTAGAGTTTTTTTTCTTGAACTTTTTTTTTGGATTTCCCCTTTTGCTTATATATCTTTTCTTTTTTTACTTGAGGCATTCAAAAATAGTTTTAAAGTCAATGATCTTTGTTTTCAAGAGTAGGCAAGAGCCCTGGCTGGTGTGGCTCAGTGGATTAAGTGTTGGTGCAAACCAAAGTGTTGCTGGTTCAATTCCAGTCAGGGCACATGCCTGGGTTGTGGGCCAGATCCCCAACTGGTGGTGCACAAGAGACAACCACACATTGATGTTTCTTTCCCTCTCTTTCCCCCTCCTTCTCCTTCTCTAAAAGTAAATAAAAAATAAAAAAAAAATAAAGTGTAGGCAAGAAACAAATATTACTTAAATTTAGAGAATTTGCTTTATTTTTTGCCAAGGAATTGAATTCTCATAGTAAATCGATGAATGGCAATAAACGCCATACATTGTTCTCTGGTTTTTCTCAATAACGTGAGTGAATACAGCAATAGCTCATGGAAGATTAGTTGTATATTAAACTTACACCATCTTATACATGGTATTAGTAATTTTGAGGATGTCAGAAGACTATCCTATTTGAGAAAAAAATTAAAATAAATTTAAATTTCAGCACTTTTGAGTTCATCTTAGGCAAATCATGCTACATGTGGATCACTGGCCTGGATGTTTGGGAAAGATGGAAATTTTGACACATAAATCTTACAGTTTTAGAATTTGTGATAAGTGCAAAAGACAAATTTTTAGCTAAAAGCATGAGGAGATGTAATTTTGCTTAAAGGCCAGAGGATGTCTGTTGAGCTTGGCTGGAGACATTGTACTCTACCAGCTCCCAAGATGCCCTGTGTGTGGGTTCACTAGCTCTTATATTCAAACAACAGCATGGTTACCCCCATATAATTGTAAAAGCTTTCTTTTATAAGCTCTGTCTCCTGAATCTGAAAAACAAATTCCAAGTAAGATACCTTACTCCACCAGCAGCTATATCTTGCTTCAGTGCAGGGTATGGAAGAATGAGTAGGCATTACACATGTGTAGACATGCTGAAGCTGCGTAGTGTTGAACAGTTTGTTGGCTCAGGGACGAGGAGAGTGAGCTTGGCAGGCCTGGCCAGGCTACCACAGCCTAATGAAGATGAGTAAGAACTTAACCTGTCTTCAAGGATGTTACTACATATGACAGGGATCCAACTAGAATAAGATAAATGCCAGAAAAGAGTAAAATAATGCTATGAAGAAGGAGGAGATGACTTTATTTGGGAGTCAAAACAAGCTTAAGGAGGACATGCCTGGAAAGACAGGATAGAATTTTACTAGGCAGAGACTGAGAAGAGGGAAGGAGCTTTCCAAATGGGGGGGAAAGACTTAAGCAAAGATGTTGAGACCGAAAAACACTGTCCGGGAAACAGTGAGATTTTTATTTGTCTTGAGTTAGATTATGGGTTGGGCAGAGGTGGGGTAAACTGTTAGGTGTTTGGGCTCCGTATGAGAAGTTTGCCCTGGTGAAAATTTAACTTTGGTTAAGAAGGAGTGGGCCACTATATTAAATGCATTTAGCTTTAATGTCCCTAGGGACCCTGCTCATGTTTCTGTATTCAGTTTGATAATTCACGATCTCTTTTTGGTCTAGATCCTTTCTCATTCTGTGATTCTTTCAATCCCTTGTTTTCTCCAGCCTGGATGTTGGGACCAGGGGAGTTACTGGAGGTCATGTTGTTGGAATTTGTGGGAGCTTCCCTGAGAGTCATGGGGCTGAGCCGCATCAAGGAACTTTATAAAATATACCTTCTAATTTTATGTCATTTTATAATTGAGATTGTCTGTTGTTTGCAGGCAATTTGCTATAATTGAAATGCACTGCTTGTGAAGCCAAATAATGTTTGATGAGTATTTTTAGCCATTGATGCATAAGAATGATTAGTAACATCCCAAATTGAAATGTGTTTATGCTTCAGGCTAAGTACATGGTCTGTTAGGCTCTTGTTTGGTATATGTCCGAATTTCAGAAATTCCAGAAACCTTGTGGTGAATGACCTCATTTTAAATATTTGTGGATGGAGCACAAAATGACATTTCACAGTTGTGAGAGGAAAGATGGGTTCATCACACTGGCTGCTTGAATTGTTACACACACAGCCCTGACCCCCAGGTTCTGTACACAAATGGAGAGGGAGGGCAGGTTCTGCTATGTTCAGGGTGAATGCACAGAGCTCCTGTGAGATGGCCACACTCTGTGTTGCCCATAGAGTCCTGTCACCCTTTCTCCTTTTTCTTTAATCCTCACCTGAGGATGTTTATTGATTTTTAGAGAGGAGTAGGGGGAGAGAGAAAGAAAAAGAGAACATCGATGGGTTGCCTCCTGTGTGTACCCTTGACTGGGGATCTAACCTACAACTTAGGGATGTGACTCAACAGGGAATCAAACCAAGAACATTTTGGCCTGTGGGAGGACATTCCAGCCAACTGACTCAGCCTGGCCAGGGCATACCTTCTCCTTTGTCCTTTCAGAAACTTCGAGTGACTCCCTCAGGGACTTCATGTTCATGTATCAGTGGGGACTCCCAGACACCTGAAAGTTGCAGGTTTACATGCTGCTTTCTGCAGCTGGCAAGGCAGGCACGTTTCTGCAAACTACATCTGCTTCCCTGCTGTGGCTCGGTGGACAGGATCTTGCCATGCCATGCCATGCTATGTTTCATGCCATGCCATGACCTTGTTTCAGGTAGACAAGCTATATAAAGAGTGGAATCTTATGCATATCTTTGGATAGGTTAAGGTATGGTGGGAACCAGTTATGCTGGCTGTTATGCTACTGGTTACAGAGGCTATTGTGTGCTTCGAATACCAGATGGTTTGGAGCAAAGTTTATATTCTTCGAGACAGATGAAGAAGCCTGACTAAAGGAACCATGTTTCACTGTCACCAATAATGAGAGGAATGCTGGATGCTAGGGAGTTAATGTACTTGGTAGAAGGTGTTACTGACCCAGTCTGTGTGCATTCTTCCCAGGAAAGCTTTACACAGCAGGAGATTCTTCAGCTGGCCTTGAAAGCTGAGAAAGGTTTTGCTCGGCAGGTAAATGGAAGAGGAAATCCAGGCAAAGGCACAGAGTATGCATAGGAAAAAACTTCTTGTTTGTTTGAAGCCAAATGGCAAGGTGTGTGTTAATGAGAGATGAGTGCAGGCACTGGACCACGAGAGATCTTGAATGCAAAGAAAATTGGGACTTGCAATGGGAGATGAGGAACCATTGGAAGGTTTGAATTATTCTGATTGGAGGTTGGTTTGGAGAGGGTGAAAGCCATAGGCAGGGGAACAGAAAGGCCAGGGGAACCATCTGGGTGAGAAATGGGTGCTAGGGCACACCCTCATTTAATGAGCAGGTGCAGAAAGAGGGTGTGGAGGAGAGTCAGGTTAGAGAGGGACTGCCTAGGATATAGAGGTGTGAGGTCACCCAAGGGAGGAGGGCTTCAGGGAGGGGTTAATCCATAGGTCCTGGATGTGGTCCCTGGGAGGCCAGCAAGGCCTGTACACCAGCATCGTCAGTAGGAAATGGGACATTAGGGTGAGAAGAGGGAGGCACTCACCTCTGGCACAACAATTAAAGATGTACCTAAAAACTCAGTAATCAAGATGAATAATATTTTAATGCAGTATTTTCAAAAAATGGCATTAGTGCAAAAAAAATCTACAATGAACAAAACATCAAAATTTAAAACAGACAGCATCAGAATCACTCATTTTCTCTTTGTTAGGGTCTCGTATGGCTCTGCACAGAGTGTCAATGTGCAAAGGACATGCAGGGAGGGAGGATGCGGGTGGAGGCGTGTTGGGGAGTGGACTGAAGTAATTGATCGAAGCATGGAGGGCAGACTCTTCCTTTATAAAGGCCCAGCCTCACTTGAAAGGAAAAAATGGAAAGGATGGTCTGCGTAGGGGATCTCAGGCTTAAGGATTTTTTTTAAAGATGGAAGAGACTTGGCACCTGCTTACTAGATGAGGGGAGGAGTCCCCTCAGGTAGGGAAAGATTGATGAAAGAGTAGAGCTCATGGAGAGAGGGGAGGGCGCAGGGACAGTGGGTGGTTCTGGGCAAGCCCAGGGGCAACAGGGGCCAGCCCCACAGTGGGAATGTGGAAAGTTGTGGGCGCTCGCTCCTCACAAGTGGCAAAGTCACTTGACAAGAAATCATCTGACGTGAAAGGGCACCAGTGGGTGGTGTTAGGATGGAAGAAAGCAGTAAAGGTGGAGCCCTTGTGAGGAGCTGACCAAGGTCTTGTAAAAACAGTTGTGGAGCAGCCATAAGGGGCCTGCTGAGGTTGAAGACCTCAGAGTGTGGTGGGATCTTTTCCCATCCCTTCAGCAAGATTTGCTACTCTAGACATGAATGCAGGAGGCTCCTCAGTGAGGATGGGGTGCTGGGGTGATGAGCCATCCTGCTTTCCCGGGACTGAGGAATTTTCTGGGACACAGAACTTTTAGTCCTAAAACTGGACAATCCTGGCAAATCAGGACCAGTTAGTCACTCAAGGTATTGCACAGTTGGTGGTCAGGAGAGAAAATGGCGAGAGAATGGAGGGTGCCAGGTGGAGAGAGTTTGTGGCATATACTCTAGGTCCAGTCTAGGGAGAAATGGAAGTGAAACTATTACTTGGTAATAATTTGTGAAAATTCACTCATTTGTTCATTCATCCATTCAACAAATAGTAATCGAGTGCCTACTGTGAGTCAGGCACTGGGGTCCATGCAGAAGATTTAACCAAAATAAGATATCGGTGTCCTCACGGCCCATCCTTCTGTGGTGGCTAGTGTCCACTGGTCCTCAGGGCCTGTTCTCACCTGTGTCCAGGGAGTGGAAAACAGCAGGCGGTATCTCCCCGGCTTTTTTATAAGTAGAATATGAATTTAGTTCTGCCAATTAGGTGCATTCAGGCAAAGTTTATAAACAGAAGTGAGGTAGAGACCAATAGCTGGTTGCTTTTCTTAGTTTCTCTGCTGGCAAGCAGGCAGTGGTGACTTGGGGATCTGGGCAGCAGCACTTTGGTGTCCAGTCGCCAGGCTTGGAGTGTGTGGAGGCAGGAATGGTGGTGGTGGGTTGCCTTCTGGTCTCTGGATCACTGCACGTGTTCTTTTTTATTTTAAATTCTCATCAGAGAATATATTGATTGGTTTTAGAGAGAGAAGGAGGAGAGAGAGAGAAGACATCGATGTGAGAGAAACATCAATTGGCTGCCCTGACTGGGGATCAAACCCCAAACCTGCTGGTACAGGGGATGGTACTCTAGCCAACCAAGTAACAAGGCCAGGGCTCACTGCAGGCGTTCTCGAGCTCAGTCCTGTCTGTGGCAGCCTCCTGATTCTCCACTGTCTTGGCTGAGTGAGACTCGGCCTTTCTGAGAGTCCCAGGAATCTTTCTCAGAAGCCCAGCCGAGAGCCCCTTCCTCCAGCCCTTGCAGCAATGTTGTAAGCACCTGTATTAAAAGCATTTCTAACGAAAATACCTGGTTTCTGTTTTTAATACCTGGCACCCTTTTCTGTTAGTCAGTTTGTAGAAATTAACTCTGGTAATTTAGAGCAGCTTTGTTTAAATGATAATTAGGACCTCCCCATGACTTCCAGAAATGAAACTGGAACTGGTGTTAGATTTTAAGTCATTCAATGGTGAAGATCAGAAACAGTTTGTTCTAGAGTATGGGTGTGGAAAAAAAGGAAAAGCATAGTCATTCAGGTGAACTTCGACAGTCAGGAGGGCCTGGGGGGAAGACAACAGGAATTTTTAAAGAATTCTCAAACAGTCACCCAGATGCCAGTTGTGTCTGGCTGGAAAAGCCTTAAAATAGTGGTGTGAAATGAAACCAACATAATGTTGATCAGGAGGACTGGGCATTTGAAAGAAGGAAAGAAAACGACGGGCTCACATAGCTCCTCCATCCTTCCCCTGCGTGAGGCGAAGCAGGTGACTGCAGAGGAGGTGAGTGGATGCTGAGCAGGGCAGCTTCGGCAGGATGGAGCTGCAAGTGATGGGCAGGGTCCTTCCTCTAAAGAACTCATTCCATCTGCTACCACCCTTCTTCACCCTCTTGGCCCCATCTTTTGAGAGTCATGTTAATTAAAATCTGATCTGTTCTTTTCGAGGATAACTTTGCGATGCCTCTAGGCTTTCTTGTTCTAAGGTTTATCTATACATACACCAAGGAAGTTCTACAAGCATTCTGAATGTGGTATGTGAGTATGGAAGAGACAGAAACTAATTTTTAATTTTAAAAACCTACAAGGATTTCTTTTGGCTTGCTATTGTCTTCTAATTTTATTGTACCGTGGTCAGAGAATGTGGTGTGAGGAGTATTTTAGTGTCTGTATACTTGTTGTCCAGCTTATGAAGCAAAATACCACAAATTCAGTTCTTTCCCCCCTGTGTTTTTATCTAGTCATGTTCCATTTATCTGGTTATAGAAAACCAGTGTTTATTATTACTACATATGTTTTAATATTCTCACTACATGTGCACACACACACACACAAACCCCCTAAACAATATACTTGTTGGAGCAAAAGTAGGTTTACAGTTGCTCAAATGAAAAGTAATACAATAAATAATACATAATACTGGAATGAATTCTGTGTTTCACGTACTCACAACTGTAAACCCTATTTTTGTGCTGCCTTGTATAGTACTATTTTTGAAACATTTTGTCTAGGCAAAAATATCTGTTTTGTTTGCTTTTTGTTTGTGAGATTCATGTAGTTTAGGTTCATTTTCAGAACTGCATAGTACTCCATTAAAAGACTACAACATTTTATTTAATCTCTTGTTGGTAGGCTGGCCTATCACTCTACCATTCCCACCCATTTTGACTTTCTAACCTAATATCGTCCCTTTGTTTTCATGTAAATTTTTTTTACTTATGTGTTTTTATTTAAGATGCCTCAAAACTTTTGTGGACTGAGATTATATATAAATAAAAATATTTATAAATAAAATAGATTTAGGGTTCCATTCACTAAATATAGCTAGATAAATCTATAAATATACTTGTATGCAAATATGTAGCTGTAGCAATAGTTAGCAATTTGGCTGTTGGGTTGTGTTCCCAACTATTTATTTGCTATGATTAATTTTTAACCTGACATGTTCTCTGATAGAAACAGGCACGGTACTCTCCCGAACACTAACACTTTTTAAAATGGAAAACAGAAATGAAATTGAAATTTTAACATAGATAGTGACTGTCATTTGCAGCTTAAAATTTGAAAGAAAATCGTTTGCTTTCCAGTGGCAGAAACTAAGAATACACCATAGCATGACCTTCCCACTGCTCCCACCCGGATCCCAGCCCAGGACTGGGATCTTCCCCCAGATCTTCTGTTCCCCCTCCTTCCTGCCACTGGAACTCTACTGGTAATTTCGGCCCTGCAGCAGTGCATGGAGAGGCAGGGGAGTCTGGCACTTTTCGGGGAGGAGGGAGGTGCTTCTGGTCTGAAGAGGTGATCAAAATTCGTCAAGGTTCAGCTGTGCTGGCAGGCCCCCTAAGCGTTCATGATGAAGCTGTGGTAAGGGCCTGGGACTTTGGGAGGATGGCAGCGAAGTTCTCTGCTCACAGGTAGAACGAGGGACTGTAAGGTAGGAGAAACACTGGAAAAAGGGATGGGGAAGGAACACATGCCTCCTTCTCCTGTCATTTTTGTATTCCAGAGGGTCCCCTTTGCTGTGACCCAGGCAAGGTCACTGGGTTTTTTGTCTAGATGGTTGCTTAGTCATTGGGTCCCCAGTGTGCTTCCCCCTTTACGATACTATGTGCTCATAATTTCTGATATAGTATGTGGGGTTTTTTTTGGAAAAATTTGTCTCTGGTTTCATTTCATTTAAAATGTAAGTTATTTTCTTTGTGTTAGTTTTGTATCAGTTTCTTTGTCAATTGAGGATCGCTAGTTGTAGACTTAACAGTATGAATCTAATCTGCTGGGTTTGAGAGTCCAGCAAGAAAGGAAGAGCCCATATTTTGAATTTTAGGCATAAATTATGTTGATAAGAAGTTTTTAAAAATTCCCTTTTAACCATAGAACGACTTCATTGGAGAGGATTCTGAGAGAGATGAAGAAAGCCATCAGAAATGAAGTCAGTAGCCTCACGGCCTTCTGTTAACTGGACTGGAGTCTTATTACTGCACTTCTTTGCGAAGACCCTCTACGTGACTTACATGATGTCGGCTGAGGTCATTCATCAGATTGAAGAGGAACTCGATGACGATGAGAAGGAGATGCTTCTTTTTCTGTGTCAGGATGTGGCGGCAGATGTGGCTGCACATAATGTCAGGGACCTTTTGGATAGTTTAAACGAGAGAGGAAAACTGCCTACCATGGGCCTGGCTGAGCTGCTCTACAGAGTGAGGCGGTTTGACTTGCTCAAGCGGATCTTGAAGATGGACAAAACGACTGTGGAGACCCACCTGCTCAGGCACCCTCATCTTATTTCAGACTACAGGTAATCCTGAGGCTGGGAGGCAGGATCCTGAGACTTCTGAGCGAGAGAAATAAGGACAGCAAGAAAACTAGCCTCCTCACTGTCTCTGCTCGCTGATCTAGCTGCTTGATAAGTTACTTCATTCCTTTAAACTCTTTGCATTTTTTTTAAAGATTTTATTTACCATTATTTTTTCGGACTATAAGATGCACCCCCCAAATTTGGGAGGAAAATGGGGGTGTGTCTTATAGTCCAAATATAGCTTACCTGGCTCACTGTGTGGTGGGGGATGGCGGCCTAGGTTATTTATGTAACTAAATATTTTACCACATTTTTTGCTTAAAAATTTTTTTTTCTATTTTCTTCCTTTAAAACCTAGGTGCATGTTATGGTCGAAAAAATCCAGTATTTACTTTTAGAGAGAGGGGAAGAGAAATATCAGCAGGTTGCCTCTCATATGCTTTTTGTCAGGTGGCCAAACCCACAACCTAGGCATGTGCCCTGACTGGCAGTCAAACCAGTGACCTTTTGCTTTGTGTGACAACACCCAACCGAGCCACCCCTGTCAGGGCAAACTCTTTGAATTCTTAGATTGTATTTGCGTGAAGTGATTGGAAGGGATGGATGGTATGTATTTGTCTGATGGGTATAACAAGCGAGATAGGAATTAACTAAAGACCTCAGTAATCCCTACCAGCCTCTGTGACATATGCAGTGGCCTTTGTTGCCTTGATTTTCTATGATGTCAGGCCTGGCAGTTTTCTGACTAAGAAAGGGAAGTAAGTCTGGGAATGTTTTTTCCTGACTAGAACTCTATGAGCCCCTGGAAATCCCCACTGGTGTTTCCGTTGCTGAGGCAGCTAGTGAGTTGGGTTTCCTTCTTGTGAAGTTCCTGCATCCAGAGGCTCTGGGGAGCCTACTTTGAACATCTCTGCAATTCACCACCGTGAATTGCAGCCCTCTTCAATTCAGAGAGGAATGTCTGCTGGAGTCCCTTTTATTTTAGACGGCCTTTAAATTGTTCCTTCTTTCTCTTCACACAATAGTCTCTTGGAGCTTCTGGGGTGCACAGAAACCACCAAAAAGGCTATTTGGGGGGAAATGAAGAGAACTTAAATTAGCAGTTCCTTTTTCTTCAGCCCATCAGCCTTAGTTATATCAATAATGTATCTTTTGAGATGATATACATTATTAAAACTTTTAAAGAGAGTTGAAAGCAGTGTGGGCCTTGGAAAATGGCTGAAACTTGAGGTCTGCAGGCCCGATTCAAGCCTCATATAGGCTGAGTCAGCCACTAACATTGGTTGGGCCTTTTTTCCTGCTTGTAAAGCTAAGAATAATATAATTTCACAAGTTTGTTTGTGAGGATCAATCGTGATAATTTAGTATGTGAAGTACCTTTTAAAACTGTGAAGCACTCTAAAATGTAGTATATGCTGTTATTCTTGATTATCTTCCGCCTCTCCAACCATCATATGTCTGTAGTCAACCTTTTGGGAGGCACCAACTGGGTTTTTATGAATAGATTAGGGGCACTCCCTCCCTTTTCTGTTTTCTGTCTATGGTGAGTGGAAGCAGTTGCTAGAGGCTTCTGGGCAGAAAGGCCGGGCAGTGGGAGGTGAGTGCTAAATTCATTTACTCATCTGTTCAGTAGGCATTTTTGTGGGTTGACATGTGCCAGGTATTTGGGAAGTGCTAGAGCAAAAGGAATGAAGACTTTTCTATCCTCAGGACTCTGAGAGTCTAATTGGGAAAACAGCCCTCTAAGTAGTGATGATAATTTTAAGGTAGTAACACTAATCATGAAGTGTCCTTTGAGCCCCAACAAAGTGTGACGGGAGCTCTGAATGCAAAGAGGTGACTGAGTCAGGAGGGGCTTTCTACACCAACACATCTGCTCTGACAGTTCCGAGACTCTACGTGCCCTTTAGCCTTTGAGTTTCAGAGTGGGCTGGAATATCCCCAGGTGTTACTTTGCTTTAGAATTTTGTGACTCAAAGAATGATGGTCACGAGGTCTTCATCAGCATCACCTGGAAGCTCGTTAAACAGAGAAGACAAGATCACTTTCAGTCCTATTTCTGTCTTCGTCTTAGTCATTCAGGTTCTTTACTTATTTCTTCACAACTTTTAGGGGAGCTAGGGGATCTTCAGGGAAGTTTTTATTCTCTGAGTTGTTTTCAGAGCAGTTAGTGGAAAGAGAGGTACCATCTCCTATTGAAAAGAGGAGAAAAATGAGTTTCCTTAAGATCTCTTTTTGGGGTGATCTAGGCTTTCAGTCTTATGGGGGGTACATTGAAATGGAGACAAGAATTAGTCTTTTTTTTTAAAGATTGCATTTATTTGTTTTTTAGAGAGAGGGGAAGGGAAGGAGAAAGGGAGAGGAACATCAATGTGTTGTTGCCTTTTGCGTACCCCCTACTGGGGACCTGGCCTGCAATCCAGGCACGTGCCCTGGCTGGAAATCGAACCAGAGACCCTTTGGTTCGCAGGCCGGTGCTCAGTCCACTGAGTTACACCAGCCAGGGCAAGAATTAGTCTTTTTTAAAAAAGATATGTTTTATTGTTTGTGCTATTAAAGTTGTCCCAATTTTTCACCCTTTGCCCCCTTCCATGAAGCCCCCCACACTCCCTCAGGCAATCCCCACACTGTTGTCTATGTCCATAGGTCATGCATATACGTTCTTTAGTGGCTGCTCTCTTCCCTATGTTTGTACTTTACATCCCATGACTATTCTGTAACAACCAATTTGTACTTAATCCCTTTACTTTCTTCCCCATTACTCTGACACCACTCCCATCTGGTAACCATCAAAATATTTTTCTGTAACCCTGCGTGGTGTGGCTCACTGGATTGATTGCTAGCCTGTGAATGGAAAGGTTGCTGGTTCAATTCCCAGTCAGGGCCCAAGCCTGGGTTGCAGGCCAGGTCCTCAGTTGAGGGCATGCCAGAGGCAACTGATCATGTTTCTCTTGTACACTGAAGTTTCTTTCCCTCTCTTTTTCTCTCCCTTCCCCTCTAAAAATAAATAAATGAAACCTAAAAAGGAAAAAAACATACTCTGTATCTGTAAGTCTGTTTCTGTTCTGCTTGTTTATTTTGTTTGTAGATTCAGTTGTTGGTAGATATGTGTTTATTGCCATTTATTGTTCATATGTTTGATATTCTTCCTAAAGAAGACCTTTCAATATTTCATATAACACTGGTTTGGTGGTGTTGAACACCCTTAGCTTATTCTTGCCTGGGAAGCTCTTTATCTATCCTTCGATTCTAAATAATAGCTTTGCTGTGTAGAGTAATCTTGGTTGTAGGTCCTTGCTTTTCATCACATTGAATATTTCTTGACAATCCCTTCTGGGCTGCAAAGTTTCTTTTGAGAAATCAGCTGACAGTCTTATGAGAGCTCCCTTGTAGGGAGCTAACTGTTTGGGACTCTCTGTGCTCCCAGGACTTGTGTGTCTATTTCCTTCACCAAGTTAGGGAAGTTTTCTGTCATTATTTTTTCAAATAGGTTTCCAGTTTCTTGCTCTTTCTCTTCTCCTTCTGGCACCCCCATGATGAGAATGTCGGTGTACTTGAAGTTGTCCCAGAGGCTCCTTACACTAGCCTCAGTTCTTTGGAATCATTTTTCTTTGTTGTGTTCTGATGGGTTGTTTTTTGCTTTCTTGTATTCCAAATTGCTGATCTGATTCTTGGCTTCATCCACTCTATTGTTGATTCCCTGTAAATTGTTCTTTATTTCAATTAGTGTATCCTTTGTTTTTTACTGAATCTTTTTTGTGTTGTTGAGGTCCTCGCTGAGTTCATTGACTATTTTTATAACCAGTGTTTTGAACTCTGCATTAGTGGATTGCTTGTCTCCATTTTTATAATTCTTTCTCTGGAGTTTTGTTCTGTTCTTTCAGTTGGGCCATGGTTTTTTGTCTCCTCATTTTGGCAGCCTCCCTGTGTTTGTTTCTGTGTATTAAGTACAATTGCTACATCTCCTAGGGTTGGTAGAGTGGCCTAATGTAATAGGTGTCCTATAGGGTCCAGTGGCACAGCCTCCCCTATTATTCAAGCTGGGTACTTGAGATACATCCACTGTGTGGGCTGTGTATACCCTCCTCTTGTAGTTGAGCTTTGATTGCTGTTGGCACATCAAAGTTCAGCCACTGTCTTGTGTTCTGTCCCAGGTCATACAGTATAAGCTACAAAGTGATCCAAAGATGGCTGCTACTTGTGCTGGGTTTGTAGGTGCCAAGGAGAGGCCAAGCTGTGAACCCAGGCTGGCTACTGCTAGTACTGGACCTGGGGCAACCTAATGAGAGTTATAGGGCTCAGGGAGGCCAGATGCTGCTTGTTTGAGAGAATTTAGGAAAATTTTCTCCTGAAGCATAGCCAAAATAAGCCATTCATATGGAAAAGCTACTGGAAACAGCTTGGGTGGGCCCTACAGGATGGGGCAGGGCCTCAGGGAATCATCAGGGTGGGGCAAACCGTGTGAGCCAGTTTGATGGAGTCTCAGATAATGGTGCCTGCCTGCCAGCTCTGTGACTGTGTTGGGGAGGGCTCAGAAAATGAACAATGGCCTCTGCCAGCACCTCTCTTTGGAAAAAAGTTGCCTTCTAGCTCCTGCCCTGATGTTTCCCCATATTGTCTCGATGCCTTTTAGTCTGCTTCCCTGCACTGGAGCTCGGAAGGAGTGAGTCCAAGGAAGTCTGTGCACGGGCCCTTTAAAAGGAACCGTCTAAGACTCCAATAGTTTGTCTTCTACAGCCTCAATCCCTGCTGGTTTTATACAGCTAGAAGTTATGGAGACTTATCTCCTTGACACTGGAACCCTGGGCTGGAGGCATATTATAAGGCTGGCACCCCTCATTCCTGAGATGTCCCTCCTGATTTTTATCTGCTACACATGGGTGTGGGACCAGTTCATAATTCCACAGTTGTAGGACTTCAATTCTTCTTGATTACTGATGGTTCTGAATGATAGTTGTTCTACAGTTCAGTTGTAATTTGATGTGTTTGTGTAAGGAGTCAAGCTGTGTTTACCTATGCCACCATCTTGACTGGGAGTCCAAGAATTAGTCTTTTAACCAATTATTGGCATAGAGGAGGCATAGGCCCTTGGTGTTCTCACTGGGACTTGTATCTGAATTTTAAAGAAACTTACCTGTCTTACAGAGTACTGATGACTGAAATTGGTGACAATTTGGATAAATCAGATATGTCCTCATTAATTTTTCTCATGAGGGATTATATGGGCCGAAGCAGGACAGCCAAGAATAAAGATAAGGTGAGTTTTTTTTCTTGGTTCGTATTCCCAAGAGCCGATCAGAAGTTGGAGGATACTCTCTACAGTGTGAAGAGGGGGAAGCAGGCATTTCAGCAGGGAGGCCCAAGACGGGGGTGAAGGCAGAAAGTGAGAAGGGTATGGTTTTTTAAAAGATGATTAATTAAAGATTTTATTTATTTTTTCTTAGAGAGAAGGGAAGGGAGAGAGAATGAGAGGGAGAGAAACATCAATTGGTTGTCTCTTGTGTGCTCCTTGACTGGGGACTGGGCCGACAACCCAGTCATGTGCCCTGACCAGGAATTGAACGGGTGACCTTTTGGTTTGAGCTATGATGCCAAACCAAACTGAGCCACACTGGTTAGGACATTGGTTTTATTTTGTTATTTATTTATTTATTTATTTTTTAAATAATAACATGATGGTAAGAAAATTGGTTTATAGATGAGAGGAAACAAAGTGATATCTTATGTGGCCCTGTTTGTTTCTCTCATCCATGTATTTTATCCTTTACTTGTGTTAAATTCATAGGCCTGGGTCGTGTATCAGTTTTCTTCCCACTTTGGCAGATCATCTGGTGTACAGGTAGTTTCATCTGCTCACTCTGAGTAGAAACAGGTGAGAAGTGCTAATCCACTCTCACCTTGTTCTCTTACTTACATGTCTTCCTCTTCAGCCAGCTCAAGGTCAGCGTGGAGTCATTAGGCTGCATGTGGAGATAGGTCCTTGTGACTGATATATCCAGGGAATGGCAGAAGTAAAGATTTGGGAATGAAAATTAGGTAGGGGTGAAGATCTCAGGGATGTTGTGATTTCTAGGAAAGTATTTAAATTTCATTTGGCCTTATATGGTACTGCTGACCTAAGGACAGGCCAGGAAGAGCTCAGGCCTCTGGTATTTGACAGTACATCCGTAAAGGACCTGCTTCTGAGGGTAAGTCATTGCTCGGGGATTTCCTCAGGTTTCTCAATAATTACAGATTCTGAAATCCAGGAATGCAGAATGATTGTATGCCCCCACCATCAAATGGAAAATAGGAAGGAAAATGAAAAAAATCGAACTCTTTTTTTTTTCGGTGTCTTATAATCAACTTACCTCCCAATCATTTATATGGATTTAATTATGGTTACTATATTTAAAAGTAAATAGCACTTAAGAAAACAAATGTTAAACAGAAGGGAAATAAAACCAAAAGCAATGACTGTTTTTGCAATATAGTTCTTTCATAATTGCTGTGCCCTGGGGTAAATGAATAGCAAAATGCCCTAACCTTGAGATTTTGCTACCTCATATGCTCTGAGTTGGAGTGAATTGGAATATCCAGCATTGATTAAAACGTATCTTTGGGGTTTTTCTAGTAAGAACTTTCCCCAAACTACCTTCTCTTTTACTTTTTCAGGAAAGCCCCTAGAGTTTTTCAGCAGAATACCAGTTTGACTTTCAAGAGAAAAAACTCAGGAGTATTTTATTGTATTTTTAGGCCTGCTCTCTCATCATAGTCCTTGATGACACAAAATGGCCAAGTGTCCATCTCCATCCTAGGCACAGGCTGGCCACCAAAAGACTTCCACCACCATCACTACCTCTTTACTCAGTAAAATTCAGGAGTATAATTAGCATCCATCCTTAGAGGGACTGTCAAACAGAGAGATTTGGTTTAGGATCTCTGAAGGTCTGAACACACTCTCCACTTGCTGCCTTTTCTTGCTGTTATGAACCACAGCCTGAAGTGTTGCATCTGGGACTTAATAGTTGGCCTTACTGACATTTATTTCTTATTGGTGCTTCTCTTAGAGTTTCTTGGATCTTGTGACGGAATTGGAGAAACTGAATCTGGTTGCTCCAGATCAATTGGATTTATTAGAAAGATGCCTAAAGACCATCCACAGAATAGACCTGAAGACAAAGATCCAGAAATACAAGCAGTCTGGTAAGCAGAATTTTGGCCTCTTAGTGGCCTAAATACCCTGTGCATGGTAGATTCAGTTGGTAAATATTCATTGTTGGCTGGGTAGATGGAACAGAACCTGAATATTCACAGCCCCTGCTAGTCTGTGATTAGAGATCATATCCCTTTATATCCTTCATAGCCCAGATCCACTGACTTCATCACTTCAGGTCCATGACCACAGGTTATGGGGAATCTTGGGGAATCATGTTGGGGAATCTTGGCCTTCCCCAACATGCTACCAAGCAGTTCTTAGCATTCCCACCTTCAGGAGAGAGTTTACACTCCCATTTTCTGCACTAGGTGGAGGTTCTGTGGAGCTTTGGGGCTTCTGAATATACGCCAAGCCCTGACCACCAGCTGACACTGGGTGGTATCTAATCCCGTGACTGGGGTCTCAGAGCTGCCCTGCGTGTATTCTGAGTTTCACAAAATCTTTTCATGAAAAAGGGTGTCTTTTCTGCTGATAACCGCTTCCTTGGTGGAAGGGACCAGATTCACATTGGCCTTCTCTTCCATGCCGCCCCTCCCCCATTGTCTTTTAGACTCAGCCTCAGCTTGGGCTCTGCCAGCATTCTGCTGCCTCCAGAGTCCCAGCCTGAAGGACGTGGCGGGCACCCAGTGATCCATAGACTCTCCCCCAGCCATCCCCACTCCTAAATGAATGATGAGAGTAGCATTTTTAGTCTATTCTTAAAGACATTGGTAGAAGGGTCATCTGATCTGATATTTTGAATTAAGGAGGTTGCTGGAAAGGTTAGGGTATTTTCAGAGATGGAGATTGACCTTGGACTGAGCCATTGTTGAAGATTCATTTGATAATAATCGGAAAACCTTAACTCAGAACCTCTTTTCTGCTTACAGCTCAAGAAACAGGAACAAGTTATATAAATGCTCTCCAAGCCTCTCTCCCAAACCTGAGTCTTAAGGATCCTTCTTATAACTTAAGGGTGAGTCTGGAGCCATATTATGGACCCAGCATGAAACAACTTCAGAAAGTTAATTAAAATATCCATATTCTCACAGCATGTACTTTAATACCTGGAAAATTTTTGACAGAAATATTCATTTATTTTAATAAAATATGTATAACTTCTTATGATTACAATGACATGTTCATTGGGATAATTTGGAAGGTACAGAGAAATGTAAACAAAGAAGAATAAATTACCTCTATCCCAAAATGCAGAGATAACCACTGTAGTCTCATTGTGTTCCTCTCTCATTATTTTTGTATGTCTGTTTTGGTGTATTACATATATAACCAAACATTTTTTTCACTGTCCATTGTTCCTTTGAAAATTTAGCTTTTTAAATAAAATTGGGCAGGACATGCCCATGGACAAAAATAATTTAAAATGGTACTCGAAGTCTTTTTTAAGTATATTTTCTTTTAGAAGAAACTGTAATTAACTATTTTCTTCTCTAACTATCCAAAGATGGTCTATACACATATCAGATTTCATTTTTGTTTTATGCATTGTCCTGATCTGGGAATTCTTGGAAATTATTCCATATGATCCTATATGTAACTGCCTGTATTTGATCATTGTTTTAATGGTTACACATGGTCCTACTTCTAGATGTATAACAATGCATTTAACCTTTCCTTATGCATGTGTATTTAGATTATTTCCAATCTTTTGTTACTACAAATAGTGCTTCAAAATAAATATCTTTGTATTTACCTCTCTGGGCATTTGCTTTTTATTGAGCTTATTTTAATGATTTCGTTACATGCGTTTTGTTACTGAGGGATGTTACTGATTTGTGAACATAAATACCACATAGTCACTTCTGGTTTTTGTGATAGTAGGCAGTGCAAGGCATTCTCAGAATTGTTCTTTGGTTAATTTCTCTATCCTGAGAAGTTAATCTTATTGTATTCTCATCCTCATCCCCATATAAAAATATATGGAGTTTGTAGTGAGGACTTAGACCACAGCGCAATTTCATGGTTAAATTACAAACACTTTCATAACTATTCCTGTGATATAAATAGTTTCATGAAGAACATATGCTGTAAGACATACCAGAGAGCAACGGAAATCAGAGCTAAAATGGATGTTAAGGATTATACCATCCAGTCTCCTCATTCAGCAAATAAGAAAACATAGTCCTACGGAATATTAAGTAATTACCCACCTCCAGCTATCACCAGATTCTGCTCCTTCCTCTACACTGTGGTGTATTTAATAAACTACATACTAGACATGCCATCACTTAGATTTAGCTATCATTTTACAAGAATCAATTATGATTTCATCTTTCTGGATCTTTGTGATACAAAATCTTGAGACAAAACTGATTTAGGATGCAGATCTAGATTTCAGATCTAGATTTTTCTGAGCTTCCTCTGTTATTGTCTATCTAATGTGAATTATGTTATCATTCTTAGGTAAAAGCCTGTCATATTTTTACTATTGCCTTTCTCTTTTGTTAATGAAAGTAACTGTTCATTGCCTGTGTAGCCTATTGAGAACTCAGATGCTCTGTGTGTAAACGTCTTAAATTTGCTGTATGAATCTGTGACCCTGATCACTCACTTATTTAGTAATCAGGTACTGTAGCATATCAATTCAGTGAATTTCTCACAAGATTTAGGAACTGAACACCTGGCTATGAACTCATACAAGCCTGCAAAGTGCTTTAAAAGTTACAATGGCATTAAATGACACATGATACCAACATATTATAAAATTGAGTCCTCTTTATTTTATTTTATTTTTTTGCAATGTCATGCTTTTAAGATATAGCTTTGATGTAATGTTATATATTTTTAATAGTATGTAAAAGTGAATGCATATCCATATGGGGCTTGAACTTCTATTTGGTATCATCAACCTATGGCTAAGTCACTGGTTATTAGGGATAAAAGGAAGTTACATGTTTTCCTTTAATTTAGACACACAGACTTAAAGTCATAGCTTAATGAACAGTCTACTTCTCTCTTTTGGCTAGGATAGCTTCAGAGGAGAACTGTCATTTGAAAGCTGAGCATATCAAATGATTGACAGTATGTGATATGTGTACCTTACACAGGACCTGTCATCTGAGAAGAGAAAGAAAGGGTCGGTTCAATCTTCATTCTCTGATTAATCTCACTGTAGCCCTGACAAGTGGTACCCGTTATCAAGAATCAAGCCCATATGGGGCTATGTATAGCTAGGCAATTATGGAAAACAATAACTGGACATTTATTAAGCACTTCTGTGTGCTAGGCACTATCCTGAGTGCTTTGTATACATTTATTTTCCCCCCCAAATTTATAAGGTAGATACTATTATTGTCCTCATTTTGAAGAGTAAGAAACGGACATATAGAAGTTAAATAACTTGCTTGAAGTTACATAGACAGTAAGTGGCAGAACTGAGATTTATAACAAAGTTTGTCTGGACTAGAATTCCTACTCTTACTCATACATACATTGCCTCTATGTTAAAGGATCAGGTTGAAGGTTAATTGCATGTTCTAACAACTTGTTCAGTCTTGGAGTTTTTATAGTAACTCTACCATAACATCTGACTTCAGTGAGTCATTTTGAAACATTCTAATATGCTAGTTTAGCATATTTACACATTAATTGTGTGTATTTTCACTTCTTGAAAAAAAGAGTTGCCTTGTTCTTTGGCTACAAGATATAGGATTCATGGAGTTAATGGCTCTTGCTATTCTTCTTTAGATAATTTGACAGTGAATGTGGTATTTCCTTTTCCTGGGGTAAAAATCTTACTGAGATATTTAAAGAGGTGTACTATAATGTGACTCTGAAAACCTAACAGGGATTATGACCTTATTCTTTGTATTTGAAGCTTCAGAATGGGAGAAGTAAAGAACAGAGACTCACGATGAGGCAGCCTGACATTCAAAGTAAGACGGACTTCTCTTTATGTTCACTCTTTATAAATGCTTGATAATTCCAGTACAAAGTGTTTTGTTCTTTAGAGTTGGCCATTTTCTTTATCTATACATTCTAATTAAAAGCCCTCAAAAAATAAAAAGCTGTTAGAGTCTTAAAATGTATTCATTGGCATTTTTAGTTATTTACATAATTCACTTACAGTATTTGAATTTAAACACCTCTTACTCTATCAGCTTCAACATTTTGGCTATATATTTTGTAGAAATGTGACATTTCTACCTGAAACGGAGCAGTAACCAGGCCATGTTAAACATTAAGCTAGCCAGGATGATGAGCCATGTTAAGCCTAGTATTGTTCAGCAGGAAGAAGAAAGGTTGCTAGGGTCTTCTTTTATAAGCCTATTTAATACATTTATGTACTCTTTAGATGACATCCTCCTCCCCTAAAAAAATACAATAAAAATCTAGTTATTTCTACCTGTACAATCTCTCTCCTTTCTCTTAAAATATCAGCACTTGATCTCATCTTTTTTTAGAAGTGTATTTCTTTTGCTTGTCTTGAGTCCTCCTTTAAGGCTGAGACTCTGCAGTGGAGATGGTTATGCTTCAGAACTCCTAGAGGCAGGCAGAGATTGATAGGCAGGTTAGGAGGGCTCGCTCAGTGTTAACTGAGGAGCCTGCACTTTGTCCTCTGTGCAGTGGAGATCGTGAACATTGTAGTAGGACAGTGGTTTGATGGGAGCCGTCTTTGTATGGCAGCCTCATGCCGCCCACGTGCACCTGGAAACAAGCATTTTGCCCAGATTAGCCAGATGGTGACACGCTTGCCTGTCGTTTCCTACCTAAAATTCCACTCTCCAGGAAAAGTAAATTAGGAGAAGTAAATTAATTCCTGAAATGACAGCATTTTTTAAACTACTGGTGAGGTGGAAAGAACTAGCATTCTGGAAGCTGTTTAAAGGTATTATAGGAGAGCTGGTAGATTTGGACAGGAATTAAAAACAATCCGCATTCTTTCTGCTGTGCTCCCTAATGGCAGGTTTAGCCTTGATTGGAATTATGCAGGTGAGGTAACTGAGGCTCCCCGCACCCTTAATGATACTTAGGGGAGCTAGTTACCTGCTTTTGTCTGGACATGATTTATTTGCTAATAAAAGAAGAAAACATTCTGATAACTTGACAGAAATCTAACAAAAGTTTAAAATAATCACACCAAGTATTTATATTAATTTGGATTTCTAATGAGAGATTTCATCTGGATGATGATGAAGATGATGATAACTATAATTTATTAAGCTCTTACCAAGTGCCTTAGACTGAGATGGATAGATACATTATATAGATTTTGTGATTTGTTAATCTGTTATCTATGATTGCCAAAATTCAAAAAGATAAAGTGAGATTTCCTCTTAATTCTAAGTATCAGACATAACCACTATTAATGTTTGATTTATATGTATCTAAGGTTCTTATTTTTCACATATGGATGTGTAAATATATGAACACAAATAAATACATATTTTAAGTACATTGGATCAATGTTATATTATTTAATAATTCATTTTTACTTAGTATAGCTTGTGTATCTTTTCATGTCAAATACATACAGATCTCTCTTATCCTTTTTAATGTTGCATAGGATTCCATTATATGCACCATAATTCGTTTATCCTGTTTCATCTTGGTAGACCTTTAGTTTCTTTCTAGTTTGGGACCATTGTAAACAGTCATTCATTAGATGGATGCCCTTGACATTTTTGCACACTTGCTCTATTATTTCCATTGGATAAACTTCTAGAAGCAGGATGTTGTTTTAAAGGGTGTTGATAATCGTTTTTTTTAGAAAGGTTGTTTTGACTTTTACAGCTTTGTGCTCATTTCCCCCAAATCTTACCCATTTGGACACTATCTTTGCCTGTCTTTAGACATTATATCCCATTTTTGCAAAAATATTATAAAAGTGGATATTGGTTTGTTCGTCTTAGAGATTAAAAAGAACCCTGAGACTGCAGGAGGAAACTTGCCCAAGATCACAAAACTTGCCAGTGATGGGGCTAGGACTTGAGCCAACCCTCTATGGCTTAAAACTGGTGGTTTCTCTACCTCCTTGGTAGGTAAAAATGGGCTAATAGCCATTTTTATTTAACAAAATGTACTAAAGCCTAAAGGCTCATCTACACTTGCTAAGCTCAACGTCCCTTATCTTGCCATTGACATTTTATTTTATGGTCTCCTGGACTGAGAAAACATGGCCATCTGTTCAGTCTCTAAGGCTTTGGGTGTTGTCCACGGTTTTAGTGCATGTAGGAAATACTGATACTGTTTTCAGTAAAGTTATTGGATTCTCCCTATCAGGTTAAAAATTCACCAGTCACCTGGTCTTCATCTGGAGAAGGGCAAGGAAGAGCCTTCTTTTACTCGCTACTTCAATAGTTTTTCTCCATAACCCCTGTTTAACATGGGGACTTGGGTTTTCTTATCATTTTTTCACTGTGAGGTTAGAACCTTGGGGCTGAGTATAGCTGAGCAAAGGAGATTGGAGAAGAAAATAGAGGAAGAGACCATTGTGAAATGAGGAAATGCAGCCAGCATGGGAGTTCTCCTATGCTTAGTTCTCCTTCAGCTTTGTAAATGATTTCTGTCTCATTCACCAGGAGAACCAGTGAAGACATCCATTCAAGAATCAGGAGCATCTTTGCTTCAGGTACAGAATAAATGATCTGATTTGGTATTGTACTGTGTGCACAGTATCTGTGGAGAATACTGACTTCTTTAAAAATATCTGTCCATTGAGAATTGTTTTTTCTGTGACAGAATGGGATTTTGAGAGTGTTATTCTCCTGAGTACTGTTCTAAAGCGGAACCTTGTTTGTGGCAACAAAGTGGATTGCATTAGTGGAATGTAGGAAAATTCCAAAGTGTCATTTATCTTTTCAGCTGAGTGATTACTGAACAAACTAGGAAGCAGTGAACCTTGACTTGCTCTGGCTTTTCCTTAGGCCGATAACCTGTCTGTAAGGAGAGGCAATAGAAGGCCTTGTTTTGTACTAATTTGGAAAGATCTCACTTGCACAAAATCGGATTACTGAGAAAAAAAGGTCATCTATCTTTTCTTTTTGTTTCAAATTATCTTTATCCTGCAAAGCTAAGACACATGCATAGAGACTGCAATTCTCATTAAAATTAAATAAAAACTTAAATAGCTTGTTGTCTTAAGCACATTACTTGAATAGAGGAAAATTTTTATATTAGTGGGAAATGCCAACTGTGATAACTTCAGGCTCAGACGGACTTACCTGCCAAAGGAATGTTTAAGAAAGTCCAAAAGAAAAAATGGTATATAGGTGGGACCTTGCGGAAATAGCAGTATCCAGAGTCTTTAACAATCCCTGCTTTCTTTTCTAGCACATACCAGAAGAAAGATATAGGATGCAGAGCAAACCCTTAGGAATCTGCTTGATAATTGATTGCATCGGCAATGACACAGGTAGGTGTGGCTGCTGCAGATTAATTGATGCCTCGCAGTGAGACCGTGGCACAGGCAAACTGCATTCATCAGTGTGATGACCACTACGCTGCTGTAACAAACCACTGCCACAATCTGTATAAAGGGGAAATTTCATTTATACCACAGCCTACTGTGGATTGGTCTATACCTGATATTTAGTCAGGGCATTGAACTCTTTTCCCTTAGACTGTCAAATAAAAAAGGACAACAGCCAACATAATAGCCGTCTGGTATAAGTGAATCAAATTTATATCTATTTTTTTGTCAGCTCAGTAAACAATATATATATTTTTGCTGCTGGAGAATGTTAGTAATTAGTTTATGTGTGCCATGAGATTAAAAAGGTTGAAAATTGCTGGGCTAGAGGGAGCTTTATTCCATGTGGTCATTTAGTGGCTTTGTCATCTGAGGCCTTAGAGTTTTCTGCAGGATCCTATAGATCTAGCTGGTGGATGAAGGAAGTGCATGATCTCACGCACATTTGGGAACCAGGCCTCAGGGTGGTATACATCATTTCCACCTATATCCTACTAGTCAGAACTCACTCATATGACCCCATCTAACCTCACTGGACTAGGAACTGAATCTAGCTGTGTGTCAGCAGGAAGCTGAAAGAGGATGTGGGGAACACAGAGCCTTTGTCTGGCACAAAGGCGTAATTTGTGAAAGGTAGTGAGCTTTAGTCTTGGCTTTCCATGCTGGTTGCCGTGGCAGGGGGCAGTTCTGGGCCTCTGGGGGGGTTACAATGGAAGGCTTTCTGGTTTCAGTATTACCAGATACCTCATCATTTCACCACATAGACCATGAAGCTTTTAAGGAGTATATTAAAGGTATGCTAAATGAGTGTTTTCTTAGAGGCAATGTGTCACTTAGTTCTGTCAGCCTGCACTTTGGCTGTTGCCCAGAGTCTGCTACCTGTATGTCACTATTATTTGGATCTGAATTGATTCTTTTATCCAATTGTTGGATATCTGACTCGAATGAAATCAGTCACTGGTGATGCATCCAAAAACAATGAGAAGAATCTGGATAAGTGGAATGTGGTTAATCATTCACCTCTTCTTCGAAGAGGTTGATCATTCTGTTTCCTTCCAACTTTGCAACATAAAAAAAAATACATTTCATTATTATGCTATTTACAGTTGTCCCAGTTTCTGCCCTTTGCCCCCTCCACCTCGTACCCCCCCCCGCCCTCCAGCAATCCCCCCACTTAGTTCATGTCCATGGGTCATGCACACAGGTTCTTTGGCTTCTTCATTTCTATACTATTCTTGACATCCCCCTGTCTATTTTGTAACTACCAGTTATGCTTCTTAATCCCTGTACCTTTGCCCCCATTTTCCCCTTCTCTCTCCCAGCTGATAACCCTCCAAATGACCTCCATGTCTATAATTCTGTTCCTGCTCTGCTTGTTTGCTTAGTTTGTCTTGTTTTTTAGATTCAGTAGTTAATAGTTGTGAATTTGTTGCCATTTTAATGTTCATTTTTTAATCTTTTTCTTAGATAAATCCCTTTAACATTTCATGTAATAATGGCTTGGTGATGATGAACTACTTTAGCTTGACCTTGTCTGTGAAGCACTTTATCTGCCCTTCCATTCTAAGTGATAGCTTTGCTGGATAGAGTATGTAGGTTGTAGTTCCTTTCTTTTCATCACTTTGAATATTTCTTGCCAGTCCCTTCTAGTCTGCAAAGTTTCTTTTGAGAAATTAGCTCATAGTCTTATGGGAACTTCTTTGTAGGTAACTCTCTGCTTTTCTCTTGCTGCTTTTAAGATTTTCTCTTTATCTTTAAACTTTGGCATTTTAATTATGATGTAGCTTGTTATGTTCTTATTTGGGTCCAGCTTTTGGGGGCTTTTTGTGCTTCCTGGACTTGTATGTCTACTTTCTTCACCAAATTAAGGAAGTTTTCTTTCATTATTTTTTCAAATAAGTTTTCGATTTATTGCTCTTCCTATTCTCCTTTGGCATCTCTGTGATTCAGATGTTGGTATCTTTGGAGATGTCCCAGACGCTTCTTATACTGTCGTTTTTTTTGTTTTGTTTTGTTTTGTTTTTTAATTCTTGTTTCTTTTTGCTGTTCTGGTTGAATGCTTATTTCTTCCTTATATTCCAAATCATTTATTCGAACCCTGGCTTCCTTCCTTTCACTGTTGGTTTCCTATAGATTTTTCTTTATTTTACTTAGTATAACCTTCACTTTTTCCTTTACATTCTTGCTGTACTCAATGAGTTCTTTGGGCATCCTGATCACCATTATTTTGAGCTTGCATCTGATAGGTTGGTTACCTCCATTTCATTTAGATCTATTTCTGGGGTTTTGTTCTGTTCTTTCATTTGGGCCATATTTCTTTGTATTCTCAATTTGGCAGCCTCTCTGTGTTTGTTTCTATGTATTAGGTAGAGCTGCTTTGACTCCCTTAGTAGCATGGTCTATTATAGAAAAGCCACCAGTAAATTGTGTGGGGTGGAGCCTTAGGTAATCTCCAGGGCAGGGTAGGGCAACCTACTTTTCACCACTGTTTGGCTCTGTGTGGGAGGAGGGCTTGGCAAAGGGTCAGTGCCTGGCTTCTGAAGGTTTGCCCAGAACTCACTCCGTTTCCAGTCACTTTACCCACTCCCCATATGTGAATGGCACCTTTCTTGCTGTTGCTCTGGTGCTGAATCCCAGAGTGTGTGGGTTTGCATATGTTCTAAGATCATGCAGGCCCTTTAAACGGAGTCTCCTGAAAATCCCATAATTTATTCCTCTGCCCAACCCCCACTGGTTTTTATAGCCAAAAGTTATGGGGATTTATCTCCCCGGTTGCGGAACCCTGGGCTGTGCAGTCAGGCCTTGCGCTGGGATCACTGGCTCCCAATTTATCGCTCCCAGTTTTTCTCTGCTACACGTGACTGCGGGACCGCCCATTCTACAACCACCACCTCTCCATGCCACACCACATCTCTTCTCCTCTCCACCTGTCTCTGTCTCCACCCCTCCTACTTGTCTGGATGAATGTGGCTTCTTTAAATCCTTGGTTGTCAGACAGGTCTGGGCATTATTTGTTTTGAGTTTAGTTGTAATTCTGTCTGTGGTTGCATGAGGCCAAGCATGCCTGCCTATGCCTCCATCTTGCCCAGAGTCCTGTCTTCTTAAGGAATGCTCTCCTGGTCTCAAGGGGGCTCTGGTGGACACAGGGATTCTGTAGAAATCTCACTGCTGTGGCAATCAGTGGCTCTCAGTGCATCACACTTTCACTTCCTAGAGAAGAGTTTGTCCTTCGTGGCTGCCCTGCTGGCTCTAAGGACACCGTCTTTCTGAGGCCTAACTAATCTTCCAACATTTTCTTAGAATGAGTCAGAGGTATCTGTTAGTCTCATTTAAAATGTTAACATGGTGAGATTTATGGGAAAGAGAATCTAACAATATCAAATTAGCAAATACTAGGCTGAATGTTCCAGGATTTCCCAGGCTGATTTCAGATATGATCTCCTGTTCTCATGTCCTATTTTTGGTTAAATATGACAAGTGCTGTTTACTTAGCTATAGATAAGTGTCCTTTCTTTGGTAGCTGTTAGTACCCATGTAAGGAAGAGAAGATATTTTCTCAATGAGTAATATCCTGCTTTAAAAGATACCAAGTAATTGACTTCTACTTTCTACTTTAATCAGTTCTGGTTTACTCATTAGAGTTTCCCTGGTGCAAGATGTATGTCTGCTGTATAAAGAGAATTATAAAGATAAGCCATGGTCTGCTGTGAATTTGAGACTAAAAGCCATTGTCTATGCTTGCTTCCCTTGCTGGGTTGTAGGACTGTTGCCAGCAAGGACTGAATGAATATTTGTATATTTCTGCATTTCAGCAGTATGGTTAGAGTTGGACCCCATAATATGACTGCATGGGTGTGAATCATGGGCATGTTCTAGCTTGTGACCGTGGGCAATTTTCTTCTCTATGTCTCAGTTTCTCTTCTGTAAAATGGGTTAATAACAGCACCTACCTCACAGGGCAGTTGGGAGGAGCAAGTGGGGGTAAAGGGCTTAGAGCGGTGCCTGGTACATTGTAAACACATACTAAATACCAAACAGTATTTTTCCAATTTGTTGTTTAATTTTAGTTGCAAACCACTAAGCTAAAATTCGCATAGCTGTGTGCATGGTAAATGGAGTCTGATCCCAGATAAGCGGGGGCCTGAAGCCTGCGCTGGGCTCAGCGGTGTGGGGCAGGTCCCCACAGACTAGACTGAAGTGAAATGGCAGAGATAACTTGAGAGGACAGTAACTTCTGAAGAAATTCCCAGGTAGAAAGCTAGGCAGACCACTCCTACTAGTCATCAGTACGAATGGGCTTGGCAGAGAAAAAGGATCTGAGTGCCAAGGCCAAGGCAGGGTGCGGGCAGGCAGGAAGTCCTGATTAGAGAAAAAGATGGAAAGGAGGGTAGAACTGGAGATGAGGTCTGGGGCACTTGTGTCACTGGACTGAGGTATGAGCAGGTTGTGGCCTCTGGTGTATCTTTACATCTGCTTCCTTAACTCAAGCCTCTGGGAACAAAACAAATATGGGTTTGACGTCTCTTCTACAACTCCCTCTGGGCTCAGGTGGCTAGTTAACAGGTAAGAAACAAGAAACCATGCTTCACTCCCATAGTGCTGTGGCTGTTTCCTGCCGAGGCGAGGCCTCTCGAATCGTCACAGGCCCAGCTGAGACTTGGCACAGCAGGAGAGTGTTAATTGATACGAACTGGGAGGCACAGTCTCTTCTCACACCCTCTCTCTAGGCCTCTGGTTCTTCATTTTCCAATACCCTTCCGATAATTTTTCACTGAGGCCTGGGGTCCTGGTTTGGTCGACAGTAGCCTTAATTACGCCCAGTGTTCTTTATTTCCATCTAAACAGTGGGGGTCGACGGGGGCACTTTATCTGGAGTGATTATTCGGGGCTTCTTCGTCTCTTGCGTAGTTAACTTTGTCATGTTGTTAACATCGAACATTTGG